TAGTTTACTATTAACACAAAGACCCTTGTACCTGTCCTTTCAAGCAGCGCACACAGACTCTTGATTACCCTTTGCTCTTTTTCCTTTATTGCGGGTGATAATATCTTAAAAACCACAGCACTTTGCTTTATTCAATGGGAGCATGTTGTACACTTCATAACACACAGATGAGCGAGACGCTGAGGTTTTATCTGCGACTCTTACCCATCCGCTAATGAATCATAATGAATGACCTCATAATGAAAGAGCTACTTAACTCAATTGGTCAAATAAATTTGGAGCTGAAGGCTCTCATGCTTTGGAGATAAGACGTCAGCGCCCGCGAGCCTCTCAGAGACGGGGTTAGGGAACTCCCTCTGGGAGGGTGGGGCGCTCAGGGGCCAACGTCATGTTTCATTCCTCAAAAAAGCACGCTTTAGGATATCAGCCGAGACAAAGGAAACTTTCCCAACTACTTTCATATGGATGCCAAAGCATTATTAAAGAGGAAGATAGAGAGGGATAGAGGGTTGAGGAGATGTGCTGGACCAGGGCCAAGGAAGTTCTCCGTCTGCAGCTGTTTGTTATGGAGGCAGACTGGCCTAAACAAGTCCTGTCCTAAACCTTTCTCTCATTACAACTGCATATCTCACATGACGGTGAACTTTTGTAACTTTCAGTCAAAGCCGCTGAAGATCAGTTTCCATTCCAGCTTCTGCAGTACAAATCAGGAGAATGGGTCTTAGTCAGGATAGAAGCCATATTTTTTTTTTTTGTGAATGAAAACGAGGCTGTGAGAGATAGACGTATAGTACAACTATTAAAATGTGACTTTTTCAACAACAACAACAAAAAAAGATTTTGAATCTTAAGACATCTTGAAAACCTTTAAAAAAATCTGATATGGTGCTTGAAAGTACATTTATTCACCATTTAATTGATTTTAAATACCCATTTTCTTTTTCATATTTAGTCATCTTTTGATACCATTTCTATTACAAAATATTAGTTAAGTATTTGCTTGATAATCTCTTATCCTCACTTGAGTTCATCAAACCTGTTTTGTTGTTTGCCTGAAGGAATAGAATTGGTGTCTAATGTAGCACAGTTTAAAGCAGGATTATTATTATCATTAACTAAAAAATATAACTAAAACCATTAAAAACATCTTTAATACTTGAAATAAAATAATAAACCACCTGAAATAAAATACAATTTAACAAAAAATAAATAAATAAATAAACATATTTTATTCCAGCTATTTGCCAACACAACATTTCTCTTTTTTTGTTGAAGTACTAAAATAATTCAAACTTTATAATTATCTAAAACTAAAATGTAAAACCTCATAACAACTATATAGACATATACAGTATGTATAAAAAAAAACTAATTAAAATGCCAAAAACACACAACCAAGTTACTAAAATGAAAATGAAAACAGAAAATATAAAAATAAAATCTAATTCAAAATATTAACATAAACTATAATAGTATATTAGTAATACTAAAATATCACAGTTTTTAAGAAGTAAACTCATTTATTATGAATGTCTTGTTTTCCACTTATGATTCCATTTCTACAGAGAAACAGGCATTGAAGGCATTAAATATTTACTTGGCAATATTAAATTTGCTCTAGATGGTTTGGTGGTTGGTGGAAAGAATAAAAATGGCATCTGATGATATATTAGTAATACTAAAATATCACAGTTTTTAAGAAGTAAACTCATTTATTATGAATGTCTTTTTTTCCACTTATGATTCCATTTCTACAGAGAAACAGGCATTGAAGGCATTAAATATTTACTTGGCAATATTAAATTTGCTCTAGATGGTTTGGTGGTTGGTGGAAAGAATAAGAATGGCATCTGATGGAACAGAAAGAAGAAAAGTCATTCATTCCAAATATTTGCTTTATGTCTGGTTATGTCTAAAGCTCTCTTTAATTTGCTGTAGATCATTAGACAAGCCATTATGGTGCCGAATATGGTAACTGGTAGAAATAACAAATATGCTTCCTAAGTCATAGACTGAGGCCGCTCCTTCAGTTTCAGACACAGCCATTGCATCGGCTCTTTGCATGTAGCCTGATAAAATCTTAGTGAACTCGTTCAAAGCATTGGTCACGGTGACCCCTGAGACTGCACATGTCTCGTCTCCGCCCCCAGTGCGATAACTGTGTCCTAGGTATGATTCTGAGGCATGTATGTGATATACTACTATTTTTACTACCATTTCTCCAGGGGAACCTTTCATTTGCATTAAAATGAGAGACAGGGGAGGAATCCACCAGAGAAAAAGCAGGCATGCGAAGCTGTCAAACCTCCTTGCAGCATTTTGCCTCACACACACACTCATTAAGTGTGGGTGTTTAGCAACAACCGATTTTTATTCCAGAATATTTAGTGGAATAAATGCTTTCCTAATGCATTGTTAGAGCGCTTGCAGACAAAACGGCTATACTGGGTTTTTAAATAACTGCCTGTTTTAGGCAAAATTCAAAATTTTAGGCAAAATTCTTTTTCCACTTATGATTCCATTTCTACAGAGAAACAGGCATTGAAGGCATTAAATATTTACTTGGCAATATTAAATTTGCTCTAGATGGTTTGGTGGTTGGTGGAAAGAATAAAAATGGCATCTGATGGAACAGAAAGAAGAAAAGTCATTCATTCCAAATATTTGCTTTATGTCTGGTTATGTCTAAAGCTCTCTTTAATTTGCTGTAGATCATTAGACAAGCCATTATGGTGCCGAATATGGTAACTGGTAGAAATAACAAATATGCTTCCTAAGTCATAGACTGAGGCCGCTCCTTCAGTTTCAGACACAGCCATTGCATCGGCTCTTTGCATGTAGCCTGATAAAATCTTAGTGAACTCGTTCAAAGCATTGGTCACGGTGACCCCTGAGACTGCACATGTCTCGTCTCCGCCCCCAGTGCGATAACTGTGTCCTAGGTATGATTCTGAGGCATGTATGTGATATACTACTATTTTTACTACCATTTCTCCAGGGGAACCTTTCATTTGCATTAAAATGAGAGACAGGGGAGGAATCCACCAGAGAAAAAGCAGGCATGCGAAGCTGTCAAACCTCCTTGCAGCATTTTGCCTCACACACACACTCATTACGTGTGGGTGTTTAGCAACAACCGATTTTTATTCCAGAATATTTAGTGGAATAAATGCTTTCCTAATGCATTGTTAGAGCACTTGCAGACAAAACGGCTATACTGGGTTTTTAAATAACTGCCTGTTTTAGGCAAAATTCAAAATTTTAGGCAAAATTCTGCCATATGCTGCATGTAATTTACAACCAAATCAAAATTGACCATTAATTTAGAGGAAAAACTACTAATTAACCTCACAGTTGTGGATGTATTAAAAACACTTGTACGTTTACTTGTATAATGGAGTAAAATGTGCCTTGGAAGCATAACAGGGCAATCAAAAATCAAGTTAAAGCAGTGTAGTAAATGCTCAGTGCAGTTCAGCCTCAGCACTGCGTGTCTCATCCAAAACCAGCAGAGGGCGCTCTTGGATTGACTTTGAGTCACTGATAGAATAGAATAGAATAGAAAGCTAAACAGGCAGTACTACAGACTCGTAGAAAGCAAATCTCATTAGGCATGAACAAGAATCAATAAAAGACTAGGTTTTACCTCTTTGTTAGCAATTCGTTTTTTAATCATTTAAAATATAATAAAATTTAGAATGATCACTTATTCTTTTATATATTTTAAGTACAGGTCAGAATAAGTATATTGTTTCATTTGTACATAAATATATCTCTTATGCTAAATGACGATGGAGCATTATTCCACACGTTGATATTTTGTTTTCAGAAGTTATTTGAAACATTAAAGTAGTTATGTTAATTTAATATGCTTTTTATGTATATAAAATCACTTTTGTCAATTTTATTTGATGCGGACACCAAAATGGTACGTCTTGTCTTTACATATATAATTTTTAAAAAAGTTGAATGAGCCTAATATTTTTAATAATCTAGCTGCTCGAGTTGTTTCTCTATTCAGAACTCAAAATCAGGATAATAAAATGTAGTTGGTGGTTGTTAATGTTTTGAATGGGTTTAGCACATTGCTAGGGAGGTTATATGCTTAGAGTCCCTAACCCTACGTGTGAGCAGTAGTAATAGTGATGACTGACTTAAAACACAAAACAGTAAACAAAGTGACCTCAAAATATTGGAAAAGTAAACGTCACTGCCGCCTCTGCAAACCAAATAGTATCCGAAAGGAGGAAAACACACCACAGCAGAACTAGAATGAAACGGTTTCTTTACTTCAATCAAAACAAGGGTCAGAGGGAAGAACAGAGAACAAGATCAACCACTGGAATGTACATGAATCGTAATGAAAATCTTATATGCATGTATGTATGTATATATAATGTGATATAAAGAAAAAAAGTAAAAGTAGAATAAAACTGGAATCTCATGTCATTCGTACTATTAGTTTTTTAGATGTCAAACATTAAATGGAAGAAACATTACTGGGTGCTTCTTTAAATCCACTTATGATGGTTGTTATAATTAATTTAAGGTGTCATTAGAATCTTATGAAGGAATATATGAAAGTGAGTTCTGCCAATTGATTAAAACTTGATGTTTTGAATTAGGCAATGCCAAGTAATTAGTCATATTTAATTAGAATGAATTGCCAGCCTCGGAATCATTTATTTGAAGTGTTTTGTGTTCCTCTTCAGTAAATCCAATCACTCAATGAGGACGGATAGACCAAACCACTCCATAAAAACCTCACTTGTCTCCAAAGCTACAACAGGTAATTGAATTTTAACGTGTTTGTGTTCTTGACTCATTAATGCCATCATTTTTCTTAAAAGACACGTTAATTACTTGAAAAAAAAATCGGACAAATTTATGAACACTAGTTTATCTAAAACGAGAAACTACAGAAGTGAAAAAGCAAAACCCAAACCCATCATACGAAGGCACTAACATTGAAGGGAACCCTGTAATCGAGTAATGCAGGTGCAGCAAAACATCCAGGAATTAATTCATCATCTTAATTTGCACGAGGCGAGGCAAAGTGTAACCGTATAGCGGGGAAGACGAGGAGACAGCCATTAATCACAGACACGAAAGGCAGCCTGTCGCAGAGCCTCTTAAATGAGAACATTAATCAGTCCGCACTCACGAGTACGGCAGCCACGGGGAGCCATCGCTGGCAGACAGCCGCCAATAATCAGCCATCATGTTTACATGCAGCAGACACATGCGGGAACCCAGAAAGCCGGGGTAGTGGCGGCACGATGAAACGTTCTTAATGTGGGAGCTGTGAAACCAGACCACCGTGGACTCATCATGGGTAAATCTCAGAGCTACTATAAAACATAAGAGCCATGATGGCGACAGGTGTCACTGAAGGAAGTGCGCCAACTGCTCTCACCTGAGTGACTGTCTGTTCTGTCAGAGGCACGTCATCGCCCTGAAACGACATGAGAGAGGGTGCTGAGGACTTTAGGACTGCTGGCTTGCTTTCTGTCTCACACTTGCAAGATTATTGGAAATCAAAGTTAATAGCTGCCTAGCAGGACCATAATGCTCATCAGTGGCGTCAGAGCACATGAGATGAAGCAGAGCCAACAAATACTAAGCAGATTAACATTTACAACAGCATCATGAAAGTCAATAGAGGAGAACAGGAAGTAGTTACCCTCAGAGCGACACGATGAACCACCTGCTGTGGGTCGCTCTCCAGGATCACACTGTAAAACAGACAATTAATGAGTGATCAGTGCTGCAACCAAGGCAATGTGATTTTTAGACTCATTTCTGTTTTAGAAAATGCTTTTTTGGCCACTTTTATTGATAGAGAGAATGCAGAGAAAACAGGAAAGGATGTGGACAAGAGGGAGGAACTGGATCAGGAAATAACATACGCCAGAATCAAACCTATGTGGTCGCAGTGGGTTTTCAATGGCCGATGTCTAGGCCCAGAAGGAATCTATAGACTTTTCTGCAATCATTTTTGGGAAAAATCTGTGGAATTTGGCAGATGCCTTTAGCCAAAGGGACTTATTTTATTACATTTATTTCCTTTGGAATCGAACCCATGATCTGGGTGTTGCTAGCACCATGCTCTACTGTTTGAGCTTCTGGATTGGGGTATTTAAACATAATAAAAAGTGGTAAACAGAGCTGAGAGTACTACAGTCTTATCGGTAGCTAAAAGCATTAACAAAACAGCCAGAATATTCAATAAATTAATGAAAGGAGCAGTTAATTTATATTTTATGAATGATGAGAATGTATATGGAATTCTTAAGCTGTTGATTCTGTGTGGGCCTCCTAAATTTAATTTTAAAACTTAAATAAAATAAAATTATAAAAAATATTTAAAAATGCACACAAAATTGCTTAAATTAACATTAAATTTAATACATTAATTATAATAAGTTATTATAATATAATACAATCCCTATATAATTTCCGCAGGACAACTAGTACTAAAAAAATAAAACTACTGATAATTATTATACATTTCATAGATTTACTGGTTTGGGGACAGCAAGATTTTTGGGGGGAAAGAACATTATACTATTTTAATTAAAAATAATGCATTAAATTGATCAAAAGTGACAGTAAAAATATTTTCCACAAAAATATTTAGCAGCACAAGTATCATCAACACTGATAATAATGAGAAATGTTTCTTGAGCAGCAAATCAGCATATTAGAATGATTTCTGAAGGATCATGTGACACTGAAGACTGGAGTAATGATGCTGAAAATTCAGCTTTGATCACAGAAATAAATTACATTTTAAAATATATTAAGCGTCATTTAAATTGTAATAATATTTGACAATATTACTGTATTTTTGATTAATTAAATGCAACCTTGATGAGCATGAACCTCAAAGAGGCATCTTTTTAAAAAATAAAAATCTTCTCAAGAATCTTATCAAACCTTTGAATGGTAGTGTATAAACAGCACCATCTACAAGATCTCGGTGTAACAAAATTTGAATAAATTAATTATGACTTACCCTCCATCAACAATCTCATCAATGGCCAGGAAGAGACCCTCCATATTTTCAAGCAGGGCTCTCTTTTCCACATTTTTCCTAAAAAGAAGAAAACAATCAGTCAAGATCAAACTGTCGTTAGCTGATGGAGACCATATAGCATACAAGAAAAAAAGTCTTTCCTACCTCAACATTTGGCTCAAGGAATCAAAGAGACAATTCAACACTGACATAAGCATCAACTGTGGGAGAAAAGACAATAACACTTATGAGATTCACATGGTTTGATGAAAAGATACAATCCTGGATCAAGTATAGAGCATTACCTCGTTTTCATGGGAGCTGCCGATGACATAAAAATATAAATCAATATTGCTCTTGTACACAACCGTTAGACCCTCCAGCAATGCGATTTCACCTGTGTCAAAGAGAGGAAGGATGAGTCCACATGACTTGATGTTAGCCAACACAACAGAATCACTTACTATCTGTTCTGTGTGTCTTGTTGAAGATGTTCTTCTCAAAGGCTTTCTGCTCTTTCACTGTGGGATACGTGTCATCATAATACTGAAATATGAACACAACAACACAGTCACAAACTAATATATGAAGCTTCTAATACAATGACACATCTAGTTTTCTGAAGTGGACGAAGACAAATAAAGAGCTCATAAAAACTCATCCATACACCTTATGCAACAAAAAGCTAGCTGTTAATGTTAAAGGTTAAAAAACATGTTATACGAGTTCTGAATAACATAAAGGTGAGTAAAAGACAAACTTAAAATGATGTTTACTTTCCGGTTTGATCCTATAAAACCTGCTGTATCATATTTTGAAACATGGATTTCAAAGGCCTCTAAATTATCAACATGATCAAAACTTTGCTAAAAACCACAATCTACCACATGCCTTCTGTAATCTGATTTATAGATTACACTTTTTTTTTTAACAAGTAAAAGGCCTTTTAATATAACTCTAGAAATGCCCCCCTTCAGGTTGTGCTCCAAGTGTCTTTTGGCTGTGATTTTTTTTTTAAGTGAAAGTGA